TTGGGTGTCGTTTCGACCTTCACCAAAGCTTACCTATGCTTGTCAACATACACTGACGATTGTTCGAATGTATAATAATATAACCAAATATTCAGTCTTTCACCGACGTATTTTGTATATGTTGACATTCTCTAATTTTGGTCTTTCATAGTAACATATATATCTCAAATTGTACCTGCTCATTATTTTTTTGCAACTTCTGCTAACCTTTAATAGTCTGCAGATTGATAAATCTGCTATGCTTAATAATACTCCTTTTTGCAATCTTATGGTGCTTTTTAAAGTTTATAACCAGCCATTGCTGTAATGAAAGTCTATGATGTTGAGCTTCATGTACAAGTCCTTTGCCTGGAGTTTAATTAGCTTATCTATGATAACAGCACTAAAAGTATTTGCCAGCTCACTCCACAAATTGAGAGCTTTTTCTAAATTACTTTTGACCTTTTCTTTTTGCTTAACACAGCTATGAAGTTTTTCAACTTGCTTTCATTGTTCTGACTCTGGCAGAATGTCCCCAATTGTTTGCCAACTATGTTGACCCTGAACACTTGAGAAAAATGTTCTACAATGGCCTTCTGAGTCTTCAAAGGATTCAGTAAAGACAAATTTGCCTTTTCTGATAGCCTCCAGCTCACATTCAGATTTGTGAGCTGGAGACTAAACAATAACATGCTGATCCAGCAAAGAAAGAAATGCTGCTCTCATTATGTGACAAACTTAGTACCTGTATATAAAACACATAGGGCTTGTTGATTTTTCTTCTACACTACTGATGAAGTCATGGCTAGTTTTTCCTGAGACAGGTTAACTGGCTGGATTATATTGTGGACTTCATTCTGCATGCACTACTCCATGTCTCTTCCTGATGACCATTCCTGCTTCAAGATATTTCCTTACAGTAGTTTTACAGATTAAAATAATTCTTGAAAAGGAGTGAAGTTTTTTGCACTGTCTTGTAAACATTTCTTGGAAAATGGAATGACTTCATTAGAGCCTGACATGAATAAAGTAACCTACACTCCCAAGAAGATTGAATACTTGAGAGAGCAGAGTAGCCACTTTGTTCTGATCAACTTCATAAACAAAATACGTTAAGTTTGCCAATAAAGCTACATTTTGCAGATTATCTCTGCAAAATGTAGCTTTATTTGCAAAATTAAATGTAGCTTTATTCACATTACTGATAATCTGCAGAGAGCAGATTATCAGTAATGTGAATAAAGCTACATTACTGATTATCTGCAGAGAGCAGATTATCAGTAATGTGGCAGATGGTGATTTCAGGAAGGAATACTTTTGTTAGATTGAAACTATTTTGTTCTTGGGCATTTTTCCAGCAGATTGTGAGGACAGATTAGAGAAGATCAAATATAGTTTTTTAAGTAAAGTTTCAGTCAAAGGATGTTTCAGTAATGTTTTTACCAAGAGTGACACACAAGTTAATATTGATTTACCACTTGTGATTTCAAAATTCTAGTGGCGCACACACATACCAACTCCAATACTTTGGAAGTTTTGTTTTAATTCATCTTAATTTAGGCATCTAACACATGTACAAATGCTGATATATCTAAGAAAATATTTGAATATGTGTGCTCACAATTACAGCTGTTGCTAAGCAACATCAAAAGTTTAGTTTATTCTTTGACTCTACTATGTATTTAAATGTGGAATTTAGATGTAGATCATCAATTAAATTATTTTGGATTTGATTACAGCTTGCTTGTATTTAGTAAAGATCAATTATAATTTCTGGATATTTAATTAAATGTGTTGGATTTCTTGTTAGAGAATGTTAGAGAATGGGTATAAGTTCTACAGATTAGAGCCCGAAAGTGGATATTTTATAAGTATACAGGTCGTTTGAGGTTGCAGGGATGAAGAAAGATTGAAGATTAAAATGACCCGTTTACTTATAAAATATCCACTTTCAGGGCTCTAATCCATAGAGATTTTACCTATTTAATTAAAATAAAATTAATAATAATCTGGTAGTGAATGATGACTCCAAAAACATTAACCTCTCTTTTATTCAAATATAAATATCCAATAATCTGATTTTAATTTAATGCCAAATGATTACATTGAATTATAATAATGCTACTAATTACTAAATTGGCCATCTCTTTTATTTTCTGTCTTATTGGAATGTGTAATGTTTAGATAAAGTGATTAATTAAAATATGAAGTTGTCACATTTCCAGAAACATAAAATTAAATTATAATGATAATAAATTTAAGAATAAACTAGCATACTGTCAAAACTAATTTATTATTGATTATTGTCTTATTTAAATGTAATTTTGAATAAATAGATAATTGGACTGCAGTTATAAAATTGCAGACTTATAGATTTCCATTGTCATCTGTCTGTTTGTCCATCTTTCCTTAATCTTGAAAATAGAGTTAGGTAGGTGAAAATTGAGATCAAATATGGAAAGTTTGGGTTGGAAGCTCTGATTAACTACTGTATATATGAACTTCCAATCTGGACTGGAAGTCAAGAATAAAAATTGATTAAAAACTGAAACTGGCATTGTGATTTCAAAATAAGTAATTGCTTATTGTATTTTATTGTAAATAAATTACTGGGTACTTTTTAAATAAATTTGTCATTAATTAGGAAACCAGTGGGGTCTCATTCTTGATAAGTGTTATGGATCATGTTACAATTCCATAAAAAGCTAGTGGAACCACGTTGAAAAAGTAGAGCTCAGCAAAAACATTTGAGTCATTCTAAGTTAAGAGGTACTTTTGATGTCCACAATAAAAAATCACATTTTTTTCAAAAATTTATTTGAAATAATGTTATTATCTCTCAAAACTCACCACCTTCTTTATGGTCACTTAAATTCATTACTTAAATGTACTTAATTTAATCACAATAGTGCCTCAAACATGAAAAACATATCTCCCCTGGTCTGTCCCCTAACCAATTCTGTTCATATATCAGTAATTTTAAATGCATAGAAATCTAATAAAATATCAAAATCGTTCATTTTAAAAAAATAGGATAAGTAAATTATTGTAATCTAATGAGTAAAATTATGTAATATTTCTTTTTCATAAAAAATATTTGTTTACATTTGTCCCACATACTTCATGTCTTGTCCCCTGGCTTTTTGTATTCCTTAAAAAACGGCATTTGTTTACTTTGTTGCAGGAAGTTGTGACCTTGAACACATTTCATTGGACGTGAAATTAGCAACAAGTATGACACAAGCTAGCCACGCAGCCATTTTGTCAGTCATTAAGGTAACATCACTCTGTGGGTACAGTTGTGAATGAATGTGATCTGGCAAGTTTTATTTTGTTATTATTCGCCAAAAGACTTCATTTTATTTGTATATTTACTGTTATTTGTGCATAGATTCTCATATTTCTTTGTTAATTACATATGATAAATACTGTTACGATTACAGTAGACCCCCTATAACGTTCCTTGTTATACGAATTTCGCATTGTAGGAATCCTTAAATACATGAGCCAATCGCAGCCCGACATGTGTGAAGTTTACGGACTATGGCTGTTTGAAAGATTTTCTTCCATAAAATTAATCGATTCTAGACTAATTCGACTTAACATTTCCAAAGTACGTATAATTTTTTGGGAATAATCCGTATAAACTATGCTATAAACAAAAAATTGTAGGATTACTTACTGAGTGTGCACCGTTCGAAGTCGCCATTGCTTAAGCTTGTGTTCGTCGCGGAGCAGTGCACCAAACAGCGGCCGTGATTTCTGATGTTATTTTTCTGCGAAAAATTCATTGAACTTTGGAGACATCATTGATAGAAATAATTTTTATGGCTGTTGAATAAGAAATGTTTCTTTCATAAGAAATGTATAAAATTACAGTGCTGTATTAGACTTACGGTACCTAATTTACATACTGTACAGACGATAGTAAACTCAACTTACTCGCTAAACTCTCCGTAGCGTGGTGCTGGACAGCGGAAAATATATATATAATTATAATAAAGTTACAATAAATTAAGTTAATATATAATTATATATACAGTACCTAATTTATATATAATTAATATATAATTATATGTACAGTACCTAATTTATATATAATTTATATAATACTGTCCAGACGATAGAAATCTCTCCGTAGCGTGGCGCTACGGACGGCGGGAAAGTAGTTCGGCTTCCCGATGACGTTTGAGGTGTTTATAGGGAACTTTTACTATTTTTTACGGATACCGGTAGCAATTTTTTCGTAGTTTTATANTACAGACGATAGTAAACTTAATTTACCCGCCTAAACTCTCCATAGTGTGGCGCTGGATGGCGGAAAGTAGTTCAGCTGCCCGATGATGTTTTACCAAATTATAGGAGTTTTTTTTACCATGTTTGTACAGATACCGTCGTAATTTTTTCGCCATCATATAGGAATCTGAACTATAGGAACCCGTGTTATAGGAGGGTCAACTGTATCTCCCCTGGTCTCTTATAAAACAAGATAAAATAAATAGACTGGCCAGCTTGCAGATATGCACAAATTAGTTGTTTCAATAAAAATATTACATAATTAGATTAAATTTCTAACATTTATGTCGTGCTGCCTCTCCTAACCAGTGAGTACCTCTTAACTTAGAATGACCCATTTAAATAAAGGAAAGTTTTGAAAGTTGTGGCATAAGAATACTGGAACCAGATTTGACAGTAAGATTAACGTGTGAATTAAGAGCACATTACTCAGACTACAACTATAGGAAACTTTGGAAGAAGAATGTCACGTTGATAAAAAATCAGGAAAACAAGCATTGTTACAGGAAAAGGTTCAGCTTTACTTTGATCCTTACAGTTTCTTCACTGATACTGCTCAAAAATGCTCCAATGTTCAGTTAAATTATTGTAGGTGCAATAACTTGATGGACACTCTTTTTGCATGGAATTTGGCTTCTGATCCTGTTGTTAATATACAAAATAGTGTGTGTCTGTTTATATAACACACTGTTATACTCTGTCATCATTATTCAAACCATAGAAACTTAAATTTTCATTAATAGATCCATAATTACAGAATTGAAGGCATTGTGTATGCCAAGTGTGACCATGAAAAGTGGCACTTTCTTACATTTGTATATCTCTTGAATTAGTTTTAAAGTGACAAGGTTCTGTTGTATACTGTGTCCAGGCACCCTAGCACTCTGCCTAATATTAATTTTATTATCTATGTGATGAATAATATGTTTGGCCATGATGATCACTAAAATCATGTAGTCACCATTTAGAAGGGTGATGGGTAGATAATTGTTAACCATTAAAATCCCTTCATCCCTTTCTTTAATAAAACTAATGTTTCCCAAATTAAGACTCTCAGTAAGAGACTTAAAATTGTATAATACGATATAATACCAGTTAAAACTACTAAAATACTTATAAAATATACTTGCTATATTATCAGGACCCAGTGCCCTTTTGACTGTCAATTCTTTTATGGCTTCTTTGACTTCTTTCTCTGTCATTTTTTCATCATTACTGTCTACTTTCCCAGCACCTCCCAAGAAAGAATGTATGTATTCCCATCTATCTTGATCCATTTCTTTATTTTGTAAATAGCTTTTCATAGAATTTCTCAAAACATTATAATTGTCTTTTTTGTTGAACATTCTATCCCTATTTTAATTTAGTGATGTTATTACTATTACTTCTGTGTTTTTCACCTAAAAAAAATAGTCTTAGATTGTCTATTTCCTGTTTTTAGTAGATTGTTATTTGGATATCTCATTTCTTCTCGTTAGGAGTATTAAGTAATGGGCTTGGATGTCACACCAACAGTTATTTCAATCAAAACTTCTTCCAAAACTTCAGACTATGAGGCGTTAAATATAATTAAAAATATTTTAATCTTGCGAGCGCTTTCGACGTAAATATGCACGTCGTCTTCAGGCAATTCAAAATCAAATAGAGAATTCGAACTATACATTTTATGGTTCGAATTCTCGTTGAAAGCGCTCGCAAGATTAAAATATTTTAAATTATATTTAATGCCTCATTTCTTCTCATCCAACATTTCTGCCATTGTTTGTTGTACAGAAGAAATGTCTTCATTATGTCTGTTGTTAGCATTTTGAATTACTAGATCAGTTAATAGTCTTTGCAAACTTTTCATATTTTGAAATTTGTCATACTTTTTATGGTTAACTTTCTAACACACTGGGTTGAAATTTAAATCTTCTTACTTCAAACCAAATAACTGGAGCAAAAAATGTTTCTTTAGTGCTAACGTTTTTGACGCTCCTTCTGGTCTCTTCTTCAGGCATTTACTTAAATCCGTCGCATGCTGGTCTTTAAACTTTTGAACTTCTTTAGAAGGCATTTGATTTCGTATTCCAAAAGTGCACACATCCCAATTTATTCAAACATTGTATGCTACTGTGAGATTCAAAATGCAAACTGTTTACGTTTATAATGTTTTAATTTAAAACATTATAAATGTAAATAAAATTAAATATTATTGTCTATTAGGACTTGCCATGCCATAGAAAGCGACATTTCCTCCTTAAAATTGATGCATGTGGATTTGCATCCCACCTTAAATATTTCCATTGCCTCCAATAGTTTGAGGTGATCCTGATGCAGGGTGGTGAGGATGATGTGTGTTTTGTTAAAGTCGGCTATGATGTCCGGGTCTGTTGCATAAGTCGAAAGGGCTGTTGTGCAATTATTGTGTAGTATGTCCGACTTTTGCTCCTTTAATTCTACCGCTTAAGACCTTTTGGTTGAACCAACATATACCATTTCTTTATCGGATCTACCATCCTTTATTGGGACCTTGTAGATGCCCGATAATCTGTCCAGATTTGGATGGTCTTTTCCATTCCTTAGTATGCTGTAAATGGACGGGCATCTTCTGTACTCTATATGGATCTCATGTTTCCTGGCAATGGCATTATATATTTATTTTAAATGCGGGTTATATGTGACAGGGACCCTCATCTTGTCATCTTCCTTTCCACTATTCGGTCTTTCCATCACACTAGTCTCTACTTCTTGCTTATGTTTGTAGCTTTCACATAACTTACATATAAGGTTGGTGTACCCATATTCAATGGCTATCTCTTCTATATTTTTTATTACTTATGTGTATGCCTGTGTGGTGGAAAAGTTTGTGAATGCTCTCATGACCAATGCTCTGAAAGATGCTATTTTATAAGAAAAGGAATAACATCAGCCTATTGGAATATACGTTGTGACTGCAGTTGGTTTTCTATACACTGCCGTTTGTATGTTTGATCCCTCAATTACAATGACTATATCCAAAAGGTGGACTCTGTTCAGACTGTGTTGTTCAATCTCAAGAAATAGTCCATAGGGATTGTTGTTTATTGCCTTATCAGTATTTGTATAAAATCTGTCTAGTCTCACATTGACTCCCTGCCCTTCCCATGTATAAGTAGGATCTGTTGGGCATTAGTCCAGATAAATATCATAAAGCTTAAAAATCAGATAAAATTTCATTTAAAAAGTCACAAGACCTGTCATATCTCATGGCCTATTTTTATCAATCTGAGCTAAAATTATATTAAAATGTCTGAATAAAATAACATTTCTTTCCAAGGCCATGAAGGATCTCAACCTCCCAAACAGTGACTTTCTTTCACTAGTAACTGTGTACATAGATGCTAATCAAATGTAATCTAATGCCACTTATCTCTCAGTCCACTGCCAGTAATCTAACCTTGCTGTCCATCATAAAATTTTGTACTTCACCTCTGTTGAATGACATCAGCACATCAGTACTCCTCTGTGACAAATGATGCAATAATACTGTAGCTGTGGTACACATGTTGAAGATCCCTGTCCTCCATATCTCGAATATTGAATTCTCATACTGCAAGGATGTCGATGTCTTCTATCTCCAGCAAACCAAGTATACAGTGCTGTATTTTTCAAACCTCTAAAACCTCAAATATTAAGAGTGTAAATATTCAGTTCATAAACCATGTTTAAGCACTCTCTCCTCCCCCTTCATCTTCTCTATCGATCACCCTACCCCTCTTTTTGTTGCTCTGTTCATTCTCAGAGGATCTTTTGAACTGTATACTCTGTACTGTAGATGCTTTTATATTTGGTAAGCTATTTTTCTTGTTGTGACTTACCTTTCTTCAGTTTTCTTAGTAACTATTTGTGTATTATTCTTTTTATTCTTATTGTTTTCAAATAGTTGTATAGTCTTAGTGACTGTGGGAAATTCTTTGACTGATAGCCTGATCAAAAGCTTAAAATTCCATAGCTTTGCACTGATCAGTAGGAATGAAGTCTAGATTACTGTATCAGTTTGATTCTTTTATACATTGTTAATTTGTGTATTGAACATGCTTGTAAACAAACTTATGTAGCTATTGTTCTCAGCTAGTGTTTATACTAATATCTGGTTATAGAATGTAGTAAAATATTAAATATTTTAAACACTAAATTAGTGAGATATGATCCATTCAAATGAAGTATAGAAATAGCTAGGAAGTGTTGAAATAGCAGATGAGAGTTAACATAACCCCAAAAATTCAAAACAACTGAAACAAAATGGAAAATAAATAATGTAAGTAACTAAACATAAATATTTCTCTTGCTACCTCACAGAGGGAACTAAAAGCTTACCTTAATTAAAATTATCCAGAAAAATACCTTTAGTTTTACTTTGCCTCACTTTTTAAAATTTTTATCAATTGAAAATAAATATATTTCCAACCTAGATGGTATTATGATAAATGGAAAAGTTTTATTTTATTTAGTTTGTGGATGATATAACACTATTAACACCAACAAAAATTGCACTTTAAAGTTAGTTTAATATATTAAAAATATATCTGAAGGAAAGCCACTTATCAATGAATCCTTCCTAATAAATCTAAAATTTTAATATTCTGAAATAACTACAAGACTTCAGAGAAAGAAATTTAGATAATCATTTAATTCAAGTCCCTCCTATTTGCTCTTACTAGACCAGGGGTGACCAACAGTTTTTGCCTCCAGGCCGAATTGGAAAGAGAACTTTTTCCACAGGCCGAACCAGAGGCTGCCCTAGGAGATTTTGAGGTGATGCGAGATCTCATTGCGGTGTCACCCCATAGAGACTAAATTGTAGATAGAGATTACAGATACATTTTTCACATTATCATGCTTTATCAACATTCTATGCTGTACTTAAGAGATTTGTAATGGAGGGTTAACTCTAAATGCACAGTGAGTTGTTGACCTTTTTTTTTTTTCATCAGAATTATTTATCGAGCTATTCGGACTTCAGTAGCTAATATTGAAAGGTTCATTGGGGGCCACATAAATTCATTACACGGGCTGTATGTTGGCCATGCCTGTACTAGACCATTATCTAGTAAGAGCAAAAATCATTATTCCTTACAGAAGTTTAATACAGACACAGAAAGAAGAAAGAATAGAAATGGAAGTAATCAAAGATCTTAAATTTAAACTTGAAAGCTTAGCAGAAAAAAGTACGAGAAGACTGTTTCAGACAAGATTAGATCAAAAATTGGAAGAAAAAGAATATGATAACACTATAGAATACATGAAAATATAAAAACAGCACTACATGAAGCAACAAATGATGCTCTAGGACAAATCAAAGAACATGAAAAAACTTTTAAAAAATTCTGGTGGGACAAAGAGACAGAAAATATGATACAACAAAAAAGTAACTTACTTAAAATAGATAAACTCTAAAAAAGAAGACAATAGAATAAGATATAAAAAACTAGAAAATCAGCAAAAAAATTAATTTTGGAAAAGAAAAGATTAGGTTGAGATAGAAAATGTAGAGAAATAGAAACATATAGGAGGTAGAAAATGCACTGAAGCATGGAAATTCCTAAAAAATATTAGAAATGAAAGTAATAGTAATAAAGGACAGTTTATCTCAATTAAACAATGGGAAGAATATTATAAAAATTTATTAACAGAAGATAGAATTCGATTTATGACAGAAGATATAAACATAGAAAAGGATATATTAATTCATTTAGAGAAAAAACAGATTAAACAAGCATGTAAGAAACTGAATAATAATAGAGCAAGCAGTCCTGGAGGAATACCGGCAGAATTGACAAAAAATGTAACAGAAAAATTATTTAGAATGACGACAAAATTATTTGAAAGGTGTCTTAATGGAGAAGACATTCCAAAAGAATGGAAATTTGGCTTTTTGACATCTATCTATAAAAAAGGAGATAAATAAAAATGTGAGAACTATTGAGGAATTACAGTAACAGCAACATTTAATAGATTATATGGACAAATAATAATAGATCTAATCGAAAAAGAATATCAAACAAAAGAAAAAGAAGAACAGAGTGGATTCAAAACAGGAAGATCATGTATGGACAATATTTTCTGTATAAAACAGATTATGGAAAAAAGATTAGCAACAGGACAAGAAACTCATTTGTTGTTTATAGACTTAATGAAAGCACATGATAATGTCCTGATATCAAAATTATGGGAGACATTAAAAGAGATAAATATTAATAACTTGCATATTAAAGCAGTTAAAGAGTTATGTAGAGAATCCATAATGAAAACAAGTAAAACGGCAAAACCTTATTTGGGACAAGACTGTCTCTCAGAGACAGAATCATTTTGATTATCAAGGCAGGTCTCGTTCTCATTCTCCTATCTTCTTTGATATCACTGCTTTTGGGCACGATCATTCAAACTTAGCTGGCCACGACCATGAGATCGTCCACGATGCATCTTCGATGAAATTAACCTATCTAATTTCAAAATTTCTCTCTGTTGTGTGTCAGCTCTGTTGAATTTTTGTCGATGCGTAACAAAAAGTTCCTGTTTTTGAAAAAAATAATCGTGGCTATTGTATCGTCTGAAATTATTTTTTTATTTTACACAAACAATATACAGTTTAACCCGATTATAACATCATCTAATGTAACGACAACCCTAATATAATGTCAAATTTTTATTGGTCCTACGATTTTACTATACTAGCTAATGTTAAAAAAAAACCCACTTGTAATGACATAAAACCGTTTTAATGTCATATTTGAAGCACTCCCAAATTTACAAAATTAGATTACAAATTTTATTTAACATAGAAGAAATTATGTGCCCTAAGGTTAGAGTTCACTTTTTAGAATGACTGTGAGTGGTACTCTCCCCTACTTGACTGCAGTGGGGTGAGGTGGCTGTTTTGCCTGTTTGTAGAAGAGGGTCGCCATTTTGTATTTAATTTTGACTCGATTCTTGGTCCCCTGACTACCTATGAGTCTGGATTTTTTTATGGGCAAATGATTTGGGCATCTAATACTCTGTGCCGAGTATGAACTCTCGACATGTACTCCTTCATACCTCTATGCTGGTAAGAACACCGGGCAGTACGATTTTATAAACAAGACATAGTCTTGTCAATAAAAAATTGGAAAAAAATATCAGAAGGATTTATGGTATCAAAAAGACTAAGACAGGGATGTTGTATCTCACCAACTTTATTTAAAATCTATGTAGAAGGAGTATTGAAAATATGGAAAAGGAAATGTTGTAATATGGAAATAGATATTAACGGTAAACCAATGTTTACATTGCAATTTGCAGATGATCAGGCAGAAGATAAAGATGATCTGGAATACATGACAAGAAAAATAAAAGAGGAATATTTTAAAGGAGGTTTATATATAAATATGAGTAAAACAAAATATTTATGCATAGGAGGGGCTAAAACAGACATGGAACTGGAAGGAGAAAGAGAAAAGATTGAGGGATGTGAACATTACAATTACTGTATCTTGGAATACAAATTCATCAAGATGGAAGAGATATATTAGAAATTAATATAAGATTAGTACAAGGTAAGAGAGCAGTTAAAAGATTAAATAGAATATGGTGGAGTGAAGAAATAACTAGATCAAGAAAAAAAAGAATATATAATGCTATTGTTAAAAGCATTCTGTTATACAGGGTGGAGGCATGGATAATGACTGGGGAAGAGAAGAGAAAAGTAATAACGATTGAAATGGATGCATTGAGAAGATCATGCAGAATCTCAAAAAGAGAGAGGATAACTAATGAGAGAATTAAAGACCTAATGGGATTGAAGGAGACAGTTTTGGAAGAAATAAAGAGGAAACAACTTATTTGGTTTGGAGATGTGAAAAGAATGAGTGACGAGAGACTCCCGAAAATGTCAATGGAATATAATCCACAAAAAAGGAAAAAGAGAGGAAGACCCAGACAAACTTGGTACGACGGAGTAAAGTTAGCATGTAGTGAAAAAGGGATTAAAGAGGAATGGTGTATGGATAGAGAGAGATGGAGAGGGTTCTTGGAGATCAGAAGGCAACATCAGATGCCATAAACCAAATATAGATAGATAGAGATTTAATTCAAGTGACTTTGGATACAAAATACTTAGGTATTACATTTTCTTAGAATGGCAAAATTAATTCTCATTTTACAAAATTATCTATCAAGATTATGTTATACATGAGCAATTTACTTTATTTGTGTAGTACATTAAAAATACCTAATTTAAAGATTCATTTTAATCTTTATAATTCAATCATAGTGTAATATATTATCAGTACAATGCCTATTTGGAGCTTAGACTATATGTATCGTATATATTAGAAAAATTTCATATGACATTTATACAAAGAGTATTTCAAGTTGAGAGAATGGTGCTAGGATATGCATTAAGAAATGAAAGTAACAGAATATGGTCATTCTCTTTCTATTTAATTAAAAGTATTAATTAAATTTTTTTATCACTTGCAATTAAATTCTAAGGAAAATTTTTATGATTTTATATAAAGCAATGAAGAATAAACTGAACAAAGATAACAGTAATAATTAGCAGACTAAATTAAATAAACTATTGCATCAGTTTGGAGAGTCAAAAATTCTTTAGAAACCAATCTTAATAATTGGAAATGAAGCTGTAAGGCAATATTGAATTCTGCAATTTCATGATCTATAGAACTAGATCAGAATTCTTTAATCAAGTTTAAATATCATCCTTGATATGTAATAAATTTAGAGATTCCCAATTTCCAATTATATATGTATTTTTTTTTACCAATAGCATTAAATATTAATTGCACAATTGCATCTAAATAATTTTTATATATAGAAGAAGTTCACATTAAATTTTTCAGTCAGAATTGTTTATGGTGCAACAAAACAGAATTTTTTTTTGATTAACTGATATTTAAGTGTAACAAAATTTAATATTTTGCATACCATTTATAATATATTAAAAACAATTAACTTTTCAACAAATCAAAAGACAACTAGGGAATTTATCAAAAATGGAAATGTATAGTTTTTACTTGATTGCTTAATGTTCTCTGAATTAGTTGTGTTTCCTTCAGAATTAGCACAAGGTTGCTGTTGAGAACAAATCACACAGGAACTCTCTTTTTGATGAAAAAAGTAGGTTTAGTTTCTATAATTTAAAAGGATATGCATTTCAGGCTTAATGCCCCTATTCAGTCCTATTTTATTAAATATATTGGCAAAAAATTATGTAAGAAATTACAGAATATATTTCTTACACTTATTTTTATTTTACTTTTTCTTATTTTTTCTTATTTTACTTTCTTACACTTATTTTATTTCAGTCTTACACACCTCCCAATCTTTGCAAACATTTTTACTATTATTTTCAAATTCCATTAAAAGGTAAGTGACTTTCTTCTGAAATTTGTCATTTACCATCAAGTCTTTATTCTTTCTATATATATATTATCTTGGAAAAGCTGGCTGTACTTTAATAAAACACCAACTTTTTTATGGTCTGTAATATTAGAGCCAAAACAAATAACCACTAAGACTTCTATTTTATTTATTAATGCCTTATCAGTATTTGTATAAAATCTGTCTAGTCTCACCTTGACTCCCTGCCCTTCCCATGTATAACCAGGATCTGCTGGGCATTGGTCCAGATAAATATTATAAAGCTTAAAAATCAGATAAAATTTCATTTAAAAATGACCTGTCATACCTCCATGGCCCATTTTTATCAATCTGAACTAAATACTATATTAAAATATAGCACAATTATATTTAGCATATGCATACAAAAGTTTTCTCAAAAAATATAATTACCTAAAAAATATTATAGTGATAGCTGGAATAACTAATTATTAAAACCTTTGGGTAAAATAAGTAAAACTGAAAAAATTAAAAATTAACATAAAGAAATAAGTAAATAAATAAATGTAATAAAATATTATTAACATAAAAAGACAGTATACCTGTAGAAATAAAATTATTTTTGTTAAATCGTATAAAACCATGGGTTAGTATAAGTAAAACTGAAATATATTAAAAAATAAACATTAAAAAAATAAGTAAATTAAAGAATATAATAAAATGTAAAAATAATAAAATAGTATATCTGTAAAAATAAATATAATTTTGTTAAAATGTATAAAAATGCTTTTTGATTAAAAAGAGTAAAATGTAAAAAACCTTAAAGCCAATTAAAACTGGTTAAAAATAAGGTGTAAGAGCATTCACTGTATGTTTATCAGAAAGTCTGGTATTTTATATGATACAGTGAATTAAAATGGGGGAGAAAGAATGTTTTAGAATGGACTCTTCTGTTTTGGTAGTAATGGCTGCCAGATCTCATTGATGACAATGCCAGTATTTAAATTCATTCTGTGAATTTCATTTATTTTAATAATTTTAATGTATTCAAAAAATTTTTTTAATCATAATTTTTTCTTTTTTAAGAATTTTGATGCTGTCAAGTGAGATCTTGCAACTGGCATAATCGCAGCATGTGGCAACTGCTGATTTGGTGTAATTATACTTCACAACCCTTATATGCTCTATTATTTGAATTTTTAACATTCTACCAGTTTCACCTATGTAATAGTATAGATTTCATAATTATTTTTTATAAAAATTGTTGAAATGCTAGCAATGTATTAATAATATGATTAGGTTTAAATGTAAACAGAAAACTTGTATTCATTTTATTGTGGTTGTTTGTAACAAGAGATTTGTAAGTCCGCGAATAAATGTTACAAATAGGAACACAGGAACAAAAACGTGTATGATTGAATATTCCTTTAATGCTTTCCAAACATGGTTCTTTTTTCTTGTTTTGTTACAAAGATCCCAACTTAACAGGTTTCTTTACCCTATTATCTTCACAGGAAAATATGTCACCTCCTATTCTTGTACAAGTATATAGTATATGTGTGCGTAACACAAAACCTTGATAACTGACTTAAAAACTAATCTTATGTTTAACTTAAAACTAATATAACAGGAAAACAATTAGTAAAATTAGTAACAGACTTAGGAAAGTGTAGAAAGTATAAAGAAATAGATAGACATACCTGGGTCCACGTTGATTGATCGATATCTTTGAGGAGGTGCCCGTTCACAGACGTGATCTTTTATTCTTCTTTACTGATTCAGCAATTCATTCTCGAGGTTCTCTGATTCTTCTGGTTTTTCTTAGTCCCTCGTGCTTCTTCCTCTCTAACCTCGACAGTCCTCTCTTATACCTGCCGTCTTCTTCCCACTTCCCTCTTTTCGAGCTTTGCTCACTATACTGTACATCCGTTCCTTTTGAGGTCCAGCCAAAAAGTGTTCTCCTCATTCCTTTCTTCTTGCCTCAGGCTATATTTTCTTTTGTTTATTTCCCCAAAGCACTAATACCTTACTCCTTTGTTTCACCTTGGTTCTGAGAAGGGGTAAGTCCATGTACATGATGTGACAGCGTAAACTGTGTTGTTTTTTCATGTCTGATATTGTAGCCATATTGTGTGTTGTTTAACATGTTGGATAATGGATTCAGGGCTAGGCAGAACCAGAGAGGACTCAAGGAATCTCCTTGAAAAATTCCTCGCCTAATGAATATCTCATTAGTTTGTATGGAAGTGTTACTAACCCTGAGATGCAGTGTTGTTCTCCAGTGCTGCATAGTGTTTTGGAAGAATGCAATGAGTGATGGATGTATTTTGTACATGTGTAGAATATGTAGCAGCCAACTGTGTGGAACACTGTCGAATGCTTTTCTGTAGTCTATATATGCCATGTGTATGTTTCTGTGTTGTTTGTGTGCTTGCTGTAGAATGACCTGAGCGTGGCGAAAATCATTAAAACCAACTCCAACCCACAACAACTAAAATGGATAGAAGCCATGGAGATATTTAAGGCGGGAAGAAACGGCACGTGCATTAATTATAAAGAGGAAATGGCCCTATCAATAGCATGGCAGATTTTGCTGGATAAAAGCGTTTAAAGAGATGAGTATGGAGCATGCGCAGTACAATGATAGAATTCGGAAGAGATTTTGATAGATAGCAGCGTTTAAAGGGATGAATATGGAGCATGCGCAACACGAATTCAGAACGATTTTAAATGATTCGAATATTAAAGGCCCATTCGTTTCAGCCTGAAGAAGTGCCCAGGAGGGGCGACGAAAACGTTCGCATGTCTAAAAATAGAACCACTCCGGTTAAAGGTTTGAAGAGTATTTTATTTTAATGACTGAATCTATGAGTAACTGTTCTTTGCATCCCCTGTGATTTCTACGGCAACCTTTTTGTTGTTCGGTAAGAATGTCGTGTTCTTCAACATGTTTGTATATTTTGTTTGTGATACAGGATGTCAATAATTTGTATAGTGTTGGAAGACATGTAATTGGTCTGTATTGTATGGGGTCTGTGGTTTTGTTGTTTTTAGGTTTTATGTAGGTGATGCCCTGAGTAAGAAATTTTGGCATGTCTTGTGGATTGATGATGATGTGTGTTAGATTTTTGGCTAGTTCCTGGTGCAGTGATGTAAACTTTTTGTAACAGAAATTGTGAATGTTGTCTACACCAAGCGTCTTCCAGTTGTGTGTTCTGTTAACAGCGTAGCGGATGTCGTGTATGTTTATTTCAGCACAGGGCATAGTTGGTATGTTGTGCAAGTTTCTGTTCTCCTCCTCGATCCATCCTGCATCAGCATTGTGTGTAATAGCATTGGACTAAAGAGAAGACCAATAAGTTGTGAGTTCTTCTTCTGTTGGTGTGCCATTGTGCTGCGTATCAGTATTTTGTTTTGGTACTGATTTGTCTGTAGAAAAGTTTTTCATTGTTTGTGAATAATTTATTTTGTTGTTTTCGTAGTGTACATGTTTTGTATCGTTTGAGTCTACGTGCTTTGGCTGCGAGTTTTTGTTTTAGTGTATCGATGTATTCTGTAATGTGTGTGTTGTGATGTTCGTGTTTTGTGTGTGTTTTGATTTTCTTGAAAATGTTTTTGAGTTGTTTCTTTAATTTGGGTGTTATGTTGTTTTTAGTGTATTGTGTCAGCCTGCCTAATTGCTGTCTAATGTCATTTATTTGTGTTTCTATTCTTCTCTGCCAGGCAGGCTTGTGATAGGATTGTGTTTTGTGTGTGTCTGTCTGTGAGTGTATTTTCAGTCCATGGTGTGTTACTACTGTGACTGCCCCAGCATAAACTAATGTATGAATGTCTGTAAGTGTAGAAATTGAATGAATGTAGTTTGGTAGTAAGTGAGTGTTTACATAATCTAGTGTTTTTCCTACTGCCTTTGACGTGTTGATTTTTGGTATTCGTGGTCTTTGTGTGGGATCTGTACCAGTATATTTAATGAGTGTTTCCTGAAATATAAGTGAGAGCGTATTAACTAATTCTATGTCTACGTTATCAGTGATGGATGGGGAAGTGCCTGCAGTATCATTAGTGGTACTTGTTGTGTGTGTGCTGTAATCAGTGCTTGTTGCTGGATTATCCTGACAGGTTACGTGATCTTCATTAATGTTAAATGTTTCTGTCTGTTGATGTATTTGATCAGCAACCTGTTGTTTGATAAGTTCAAGTGTTGTTTGTGGGATAAGGTTGTTGTGTATAATTGTTCGTTTTTGATCAACAACCCTTTGTTCGGTGACAGTGAGGTGAGGATATTGTTGTGTGAATATGTGGTGTAGTTGTTGTCTGTATGCTGTCATGTTTGTTTCGAGTTTTGTGATGGTGTAGTAAGTACGGATGATAAACTCGTTCATTTCTGTTGTCCATTTCATCCGTTGGCATGGTTTTCCAGCCTTTGTGGTCTGTGGATGCATTGCCACAGAAACACCAAGGCTAGGTTGATTTTTCACATCTGTTGAGGGCATTGCAGTAGCCATGCTTGGGCCAATGCTGCTTTCGCCACCAGTAACCAAGGGAGACTGGCCTATTTTTCAAACGTGAGCCTCTGCTTATTATTATTATTATTATTATTATTACAATAGAACTCTATTTATTTGGCTCAAATGGGACTTTACCCAATCTTAAATCTGGAAAATTTGTTAATAATGTAAATAACCCAATTTATATACATTTTATTTTATTTATTGCACATTTTATATACTTCTACAATATTAACAGAAGCGAAAGATGTATCTACATACAGTATGAGTTTGATTTCAATTAGGACACTGTATGTCATGTCAATTAATAAAGAAGTCTGAGTTTTTTTTAGTTCAGTTGGTGTGTTGTATCGAGTTGTCATTCTAAGTATATGAACACATTTTCAAGCATTGTATTCACTTTGTTGTGACTAAAACATCTGTCTTTGGCTTATACTGCCTGTGCTGTCATCAAAATTACCACCAATCTCCACTTTGCCTTTAGTTGAATAAGCCACAATAATGTCTGTTAATTGAAAGTCTCCATTAGTGTCACGTTGCAATCACAATTTTCCATCATCTATCTCTACATCTGCACACCCTTATATATTTCAAAACATTCTAACAACTTCTGAAGAGCCAATATCATTGTCAATATCAACCACTTTGGAAATTGTACAGTTTCAGGCCAATCATTTTCCCACAACTTTATAGTTGTTGACAGTTGCTGAGCAACTGCTTTCTGTAATGATGCTTTAGAGTTTCAAGAACTGATTTAGGCTGTATTAATACTGTTACATTAGGCTGAAGAAATTTAACTTTGATATCTCCACTAACCAGTTCTTCTGTTGGGTGAGTTGGGGCATTGTCAATCAACAATATTGTTTTGAATGGCAAACTTTCTTTTTTTAAGTGATTTTGTATATATAGTAGAGCATCGATTATCCGACCCCCAATTAACCATCACATTGGTTAACCGACCGTTCTAGTCAGCAAATTTCAAATGTCTGCTAGTGATGTGACATTACAATATTTGGCTGTCTTGGGTAGTTTAATATTATTTTTGTTAAATTTTTGCGTGCTTTAGCTGGCATCAACAGCTCGACCATTGAAGGGAGGCCAGTATTTAAACAAAACTTAATTTTTTAATTGTGAGTGGTTGTTTGTTTCGTGAGCAATAAAATAATTTTAAAATGATTTTTAACGATATAATAGCGACGATTATTATTTTAAAAAAATTTGTTAGGCTGAACATCGATGAAAATTCAACACGAAGTTGGTTAATAGCGATATACTAATAAACTAATTACATGGGATATACTAATATCCTAATATACTATACTAATAATAGCGACGATTATTATTTTAAAAAAATTTGTTAGGCTGAACATCGATGAAAATTCAACACGAAGTTGGTTAATAGCGATATACTAATAAACCAATTACATGGGATATACTAATATCCTAATATACTATACTAATAATGTATTTTTTCCCTTCTTTTCGGTTATCCGATTTTTTTCAGTTATCCGACCAACCTGAGTCCCCAATTGAGTCGGATAATCGATGCTCTAATGTACTCGGCACAAAATTGTAAAAAAACAATTCCTTAAAATTTGCACTATCCATCCATCCAAGCACTTTTCCGGGACTTACAAACATTTCTTCTCTGCCAGTTATTTACATGTTTTAAAGCATGTGGCTTAATAGATTTTCCAACCAATACAAGGAGGATTTTTCCTGAAGCATTATAGCAAACAAGTAACGTGATCCTATCAGTGCTTTTTTGTAATCTCTAGCTAAATCTTCTAATTTCAAAGTTAAGGTTTTTTCTGGTTGCATCTTGTAAAAAGGCAATTTTCATCAGCATTATAAATTTGATCTGGCTTTAGCTTTTCAGACTCAATTATTATCTTAACACATTAACTGCCATGAGAAGCACATTTTTATTTAAGAAGAAAGTAACAATTTTTTTTATAATTGAAAATTTTAAAAGATTAGAAAAGATTCAACTTGTTATTCAACTATATCTTGTTGAAGGATATTAAAGCGAAATGATTGCAAAATTATATCGGGCTCTTCTTGTTACTACTATTATTATTATTACTAATGCAATTTATATTATTACTACTATTATTAATTAAATACTAAGTAATTTGGACTACAGGCAGGTGTTAGGCACCATGTCTTGGTAAATTTAGTACTTGCACTCACAACTTTCACTTAATTTACATTTAATCATATCTTAGTTACTTACGGGTATAATAATACTTGATTATGTCTAAATTAGTAACTTCTGGAGATGAAGATCTGGGTAGCTTAACTGGCAATGTGACTGAACAATAAGCAGGAGGTTAGAGTTCTTTAGATCAATTCTTTTCTACTAAAACACTCTAAATTAACTATTAAAATATTAGTTTAATTATAATTATTAAATTTAGCAAGAGATGGCAATTAACATTTGCCTGTAATGCCAAATTATTCAGTACTTAATCAATAGTAGTAGTAATATAGTCTAATATAATTCAGCAATTATTTGGCTTTAATGTATAACTATCTGGTGTGGATGTTTGTATTTGTAGATTCAACAAGGTATTAAGTAAACACTGTAAGGAACCAAGTCCGAGCACTCCCACACTCTTACAAAGACACTCCCACAGAATGTGTAACAATGAACATCATATGCTGAGTCAGAAAACAAGTCTATTCATGCTAGCTACAACGTTACACACAGGCAAGAATGTACTTAAAAATCCTTTGATTTTTTTGCATTTATAGGTTTTCTGTATGTCTATCTTTCATACTTTTCAGATAAAAGGTTATATTTTATAATCTGGATAAACTGAAAATCCAGATAAATAGGGTTCCACTATATTATTATTTTAAGAATACCATGAAAAATTTATAGAATTAATGTAAAATTTAAAAGTTTTTAAAATCATTATTTTTGAGATTATTAACATATTAGTGCTGAATCTGTTGAAAGATAAAAGGATATTAATAAAATACTATAAAGTAGAAATTTGTTTTGTCTGGGAAAAAATTTAAGTAACTGATAAAATGTGGTTATAGTTAGAAAAAAACAATGGTTATCTTCTGTCTTAATCTTTGAAGTTTTTAATTTTTTTAAGTTTTTTAAAAAATTGTTTTTTTTTAAAAAAGTAGCACCATAAATAAATAAATATATTTTTTACTTATATAAGTAAATGATATTTTAATTATTGTTGTGACTATGAGCAATAACACACATAAAGGTTGAGACTATGAACAATAACATGTAAAACTTAAACACTTTATTTCAGTTTAGGAGCGGATACATGAATAATGGCGAGACAATGGGCCTACTCTCTCTAACTCAGTCTCTCTCACATTATTTTCCCCTTTTTCTCGTCAAGAGGCACCCTAGTCACCATATCCCTCACAATTATTAAAACATAAATTTTTAAACAGGATCTACAACATTGTAGATTTTAAATCTACACTGAATCTAGAAAGGATTTTGCATAAAATGCCTAATTATACACACACAATGGATCACAATGAACAAATTTTTATTGTGATTGATGATATAATTAATGAGCTTATATATGTAACTGAAGTATATTAGATTATGTATTGATTATTGTTATTAATACATACATAATCATAACATAGTTTTAAAAATATATGGAAATTTATATTATGAGTTATCATATAGAAAGCTCAGGGAGACTGAATTCTGAGTTCTGCTTCTTATTTTATATCAGATAAGTTTATTTTTATGTTTGATTATAATTTGTGAGCTTTATTTATACAGTAAATTTAGTACACATGGGGCTGTGTCAATAGATGAGGCAGAAAGACAAGTACATTAGGCATTAAATTTGAAGGGATAATAAAAAGACGTCATAATGTTTATAGAAGTGAAAATGTGTTGGTGCTGTTCTTAGACTTGCTTCAGGCATCAAAATTATTTGGAATGGGTCTCAGCATACATACTTGAATATGAATATAGTTTAAAATAATTTTACTCTGAATTTTGTGCACTATTACTGTTACTGTTAACATTTAATTAATCTCAATGAGTATTATAAAAATAAAACTTTAATTTTTAGATATTCAAGATAAAAGAAAATATCTCCTTTAAAGTGTTAAATATAAAGAATATTTATGTTTCAACTGTAAATTATAAAACTTAAAATGCCAAGTAAAAATGGTAATAGTTCATCAGATACATCCAGGTAAGTGAATACTGTAATTAAAAGTTGTCTTAATACAGTAATTTTTTCCATAATAAATAAATATATGATATATAATAAAACTATTTTTTGTAGTTGTAAACTTATTTTTCAATAAAAATTTGATTTAATTTATTAATTTAAAATTAAAAGTTATTGAATATTTAACAAGTTTTATCAAACTATAAATATTACCCTGTTGTTGTATAGATATTGTAGCTATTTATTTTTTGTTCATAAAGTTTAATAATAATAATCATAATTATTTAAATATTGATAAAATTCATTATCAATTTATATTGATTTAAATGAATTTCTAATTACAAAACTTAGTGCTTTTAAAAAACCTTTAATAGTGAAAAACAGCATATTATGTATTCCTTTATGTATAAATATTTTTATATTAACTCTGCAAAACTTATTATGGTTTAAGTATATTATAAGTTAAATGAAAAACCCAAAATTCAACATGAAACTAAAAATTTTAATTTGAGATGCCACAAAAATCTTTCATTTAGATTGACTCCATGCAAACAAATAGTGATTACTTGTTTATATTCTCATTATATTATTATACTGTTTATTTTACTTTTAACATTTTATCACTTACAAATATTTATAATCATAAAACCTATTTGTGAATTGATTATTGTTAATGTTACTAAATGTCACAAAATTGTTCAAGTTTCAAATGTTTTACATGTTTTTATTTATTTTCACAATCCTTATGGATGATTTTAATGTGATTATTGCAAACATAGTTATTTCATTTGTTGCATTGGCTACTTGTCTTGCTGTCTTTATCTCTGAAACATATCAGTAGATGACATCTTGATCACATAATCTCTTTTTATGATTGTGCTATACCTGCTGGAACTTAACTATATATTTTAATTTCATAGTAATATATTCTTGAGCAATGCATAACTGACAATGCTTGATAATATATGAATCCATTTATCAAGACTAAAGATCATATAATAATAAGAAGTTAATGTCATATCAGAATGAAAAATAGTCTCACATTGCAAGAACTAATAAGTCATACAAGTAATTAATATCTATTTTTAGTTTCATTCCAACAAATAACATAAAATTCAGTTTAAATGCTATGCAACACAGAAAATACTATGATGTCTATATGACTCTGAATGTGTAAAAACTGTGAAATATACTAAACCAATAAAGCAGTTTTTCTTTCCATTAGTATATATATATATTGAAGAGGCAGAAGAAAAAAAAAAGCAATAAAGCTAGAAAATTAACTATTTCCATATTACAGCACTTTGAAAAGTATTTGGGGTCAAATGACCCCAAGGACCAGACAAGTTATGAAACAAACATTACTTTGAAACCACCAAATTAATACAATAGGCCAACTGTTAAAATATGCTAGAATGTATTGCAGGAGCTTTTGTAAACATAGATCAGAATAGATGATAATTTTGTATTCTCATAAATAAATTTTAGCTATTGTAGATAATACCTCTTTTCTAGAAATATATATAGGTATTCCTCATACAACATGGTACTTCTATAACACAGTTTTGGAAATCCTCTGTAGAAAATTTCATAATTTTTAAGTGTAAACTTTGTTGTTCAATATTTTTTTTTTATTCAAGTAAGTGTGCAAAATTTTTAACATCTTTAAATAATTTTTTTTATTTGCAAAGTTGTATCAACTTCCCTCAAACTTTTATTGACCCTATTGGGAAACCCTGAGTGGGGTTTATGGCTTGCTTTATTTCAAATAACTTCATTAGAAAAAGTCTGTTGTCATCAGTTCTGGTGAATACTGTCTTAAGTCACTATTAACTAGATCTAGGTGACAATTGTGGGCTAGTAGTAGTGTCAACCTTTGCTCTTTCTGCTACCACATCCACAAGTTTCCCTAGAAGGTTCATGTATTTTCCCATATGTAGTGTCACATTTGTGCCACTATTAAGATACTGCAAGAACTAGGAACTGTAGAACTATACAATTGAGAAGATAATTAATTTTGAAATTACTAATAGAAATTTGTTCATAATACCCATTTATTCAGTAATTGTAAAGATTTTTATATACAGTATTAAATTATAAAGTGAGTATTTTTAATCATTTTTACATAAGTTTAAATTTTTTTCTAATGTAAAGTAAAAAAGCATGCTACATGCATCATGGAGAAATATCTTTTAAAACTAATAAAAATTTAAAGTAAAATTAAGAAAACTTAAATCCTATTTTCCTCCTAGAATATAATTGGCAAAATTGGCTTCTACAATTTTATTAATTATTACTGTTATTGTTTATCAGGAAATATTTATATCACTGTTTAAAGTAGTCAAAAATATTCAGAATATCATAGAATTAAGTCTAATGCAAAATTTTCAGATTTTTGCATAGTTTCTTCTACAAACTTGTATTTTCTAATTTATTTTCATCAATTAGTACTATAAAATCAATAATGCAATAATGACATGAGAGAATGATCACTTTTGCAGGGCTTAAAGCAGTCATGGCAGTGAATATAAGTTAGAAAAGAGAGTCCACACTGAAAAAAAGCTAAAAAAGGTAATAGTGTGTAAGTGATCTAAAAGAGGCATTATAAAAAAAAACATACACACATTTTGTACCAATAACATTGCATATGATATTTGATTGATTATTAAGTGGACTGAAAAAATTAAATATGAAATAGGTTGAGTTTATACTCCAGAAAAGTGACCAGTAAGACTGCATTAAGCCAGAACGGGCCCACATTAAGTTTTCATGTGCCTCGTACAGAGTTCCCACTGTTATACAGCGAAGGAAATGTAAGAGTAACATAACTATCAGGTTGTGTCTCCATATAACATACCAAATTTCAAATGCCATTTATTTTAAGGTACATTTTTTGATTTCTAGTTAAAAACTTTGTAATTAAAATAGACCTTTTGTTTAAGTCATGCTGCAGTTTCTGCACTTCTCTTGTTTTCTCCTCTTCATCATACTGAATTTTTTCACACCTTCCAATAGCCTTTGGGCAAGATGTATCTTTTTAATGTTGTTTTTCTCAACAGCATTTCGTAGTTGATTAGTGGCTTCTTCAAACATTGTAGACCTCGTTTCCCTTTGCATTTTTTCTTCTTCTTTTTTTTTTTTCTTCAGCTTGATTTCAAGAGTATCAATTTTCTTTCTCTCCTGTTTCAGTGCTTTTATTTTATCCTCTTCTTTTTTCTCTCCCTTCCTTCTAGTTCTTTTTACTGCTTTTCTTCTTCTTTCAGTTTACTTTGCTTGTCCAAAAAAGCTTTGTAAGTAGCATATGCATTGTGGGTCAACCCAAGTAACTTCTTTGTTATTGGCACCAAAAAGACATTATTGTGTTATACATGGAATCCATATTTTACTATTAACAATGAATTCATCGTTCGTTTTGACATAAAGGCTCTGTCTTCTGTCAGAACCCATCTAGTAATAGAGAACCTTCTTTTTATATATCTGCCTTGCCAACAATACTTTGACTACTTTAGCGACAGTTTGGTATTTTATCATCCCAGCAGAATTCTTCAGGTCAAGTAATTGCTTATAATTGCATTATTTTAAAGCAAATAATTTCTAAAGAATTCAAATTTGACCTGGAAATAATTTAATTTTTTCCATTGGTATTTTTTAATCATTTTATGTAATTTTATGATGCCATGTTCCATATAATTTTTTAATTTTTTTTAATTTTATGAATGTAAAAAAATGCAAGGATACTGTAATACAGGTAACCCCAGTATAACACGGCACTTCTATAGCACGGATTTACTCTGACACGGTTCGAGAATTGGGTAAAACCCTCGTACAACAGAAAATGTAATAAATTTTTACATACTTAAGTAATAATAGTTCACGAAAATTATTATTTTCGTGAACTATTAGTACTTAAGTATGTAAATTTTCTCTTCTCGCCTTCTGTCGATACACGTGGTCCTTCTCGAAACTTGTTTCAATGTTGCCAGATCGCGACGCTTCTGCTTCTGATGTTGCCGAATGTTTTTCCCTTATTCCATACTTGCTTTATTCTTCATAAGTGCTTAGCA